CTTGATAAAAATATAAAAGGGTAGCTAGACTACCTCCTATTTTTCTTTCAAAGAAACTTCCCTGCTTTGTGAGTCAGCATCCTACCCCTGCTTAGCTCCATCTCTATTCCTCCATTCACCTAGACATTAACAGCCCAAGCTAAATTTTCCCCATAAATGTTTAAAACCAGTAATTATCATTTGGATTGTAAATGGAGCTTGGAAAATCAAACATGATTATTCAAAAATCACAATATAAACACATAAGTGTGTAAGATTCTGTATCATCAAATAAAGAGACAACTTCTAAATCTCCACTTTTAAGATCTAATCTAATCCATCTTATATGGAACTGTCCAATTAAAACCTTCCTTTTTTTTCTGTTGTACCCCCAAATTTTTAAATACTGTAAATTACTTATAAAGTCCAAAGTTTTAATTTAGTTTTAAAAATGAGACACCAGGAATGCCACTAGCATTGCTGAGGATACAAAATGAGGAATAGGACATAATATATTTTCAAAGTGTTTTCTTGCAAAGCACTTAAAGAAAAAGCAGCAGAGAAGGCTGACCTAGCAGGCACCTTGTCTCAATCAAATGATCACAGTGAACATCATCAGTCATGGTGCACACTGGAACTTGTGCCACTTGATAGGATCAAGGAGAACACAGCATCATTCCCTGGTGTTCCTGCCAAAGAAGTGTAACAAGATACTGGTCATGAGGAAACATCACACAAACCCAAACCTAGGCATTCTGTAAAAGAACTGGCATGACATCTTCAAAAGTATCAAGGTCATCAAAGACCATCAAAGACTGAGGGACTCTAAAGAGATATGACAACTTAATCCAACCGTGTGATTCTGTACTAGCTGCTTTTACCATAGGGCCATGATAGGCAGAGCTGGTGAAAGTGGAACAGGGTCTCAGAATTATGTATTAATGTTAATTTCTGATTTTGAAGGTCCTAATATGGTTATTAGAAAAAATGCCTTTGTTTGAAGAAAATATTCTCTTAAGAATTCAGTGTGAGGAACTTTTAAGTGTTTTAGAAAA